AGATGAGGACAGGCGTAGCCAGAGTCTTAAGTTGAATATTTTAATATTTCTCCTTGTTGTTGTACTTGTATTTGTCCTTTTTTTAGTTCTTCTGGTACTCATTAAGTTGTGAGAACTGTATGGTATCTTTTAGAACTGATCTGTGATTATCGTATGTTTCTGCACTATATGTTTCTTTTCCAACAATAAGCTATTCTGAATAAGCTGCCCCAAACAGTTTTGATTCAAACAGGGGCATGAATGTCATTTAACCACCAATAAGTTGGTCTGAATAAGCTGCCCCAAACAGCAAGCCAGATTATTCTGATAATCTGCAGATTATCAGATTATCAGAATAATCTGCTTATCAGCAGATTATAAATAATCCACAGCTGCGCCAAACAGACCCAAAGTTTAGGTGTTAGATATGTATATAGATAAGACTTACGTGGTATGTATGTAAATGCACCAAAAATAACCCCAAGAATATCAGAACTTACGTCTTTTTCCCCTTTCCCCAAAACATGGTACCAAAGAGAAGACCGGTGACAACTGTTGAGAAGAACCGGATGGCATTATACTGTGGATTTCTCCAGTAAGACCAATGCTGTTTCCAGAAGCAAGCGGTGCATTGAGTTACAAAATTCTGGGCATACTTCGTAGAAAAAGTAAGGTCCATAGAACCTGATTTTGGAATGCTTAACTCCTTGATGAGCTCTTGATTATTCCTGTTATGCAGGAGAAACATGAATTCAGTGAGAAGGACATGGATTGATTTCCTTTTGTGTGTGTGTGTGTGTCTGTGGTCTGTGTGTGTGTGTGGTGTGTGGTAGCCTCATTAACATTTTTTGTAATTGAGGTAGAAGAGAGGAGAGAGAGAGTGTGTGTGTGTGTCTTGTGCCCACGCACTGAAGGAAAAAAAATGATACTATGACCTGTTTGAGAATAAGTAGCATCTTACTGGTAAAGAGGGGAATGGGTATAAAGTTCAGCAAAATCCACGTTAAGCTGAGCTTCAGCCAAAGGGGAACTTATCTCCAGCATCCATGTGGCAGGATTATAGCCTTCAGTAATTTTGGGGACCCCTGGAATTGACTGAATTTTATGGGTAAGTTGAAGGTATCAGGGTATAAAATGTATATGTTGTCTGTTAACATTAATCATTCAGAATGCTGTTACTATTAATAATATCTTTCAGACGAAGGTGTTGAAAAACAAATATTCTCTGGCCATCTTAGAAGAGAAGTATTGTTGCAAGAACAGACCCATTAAATTTATGCTTAAATTAGTAGATAGTTAAAGTAAAAAAACTTTCGATAACAAATGAAAAAATGCAGCAAGTATTCTTGAAATAAAAACATACTTCAAAATACTCTATAAGCTTGGAAGATTGATGCCCAAGTTCTCCAGCATATATTAATTGTCCACCCCTTTTCATTAAAAGTAACTGAAAAAATAAAATAAAATAAAATAAAAAACATTATTGTCCCTCAGAATGCTATCCAATGTTATTACAGTCATAGGATTGTCTCATTAAGTCCAAAAATCAAACCTCATCAAAAGTTTCAAAAATATCTATGCTTGGCTGATGGATCGTGCACACCACTGTCCGTCCAGTATTGACAGTATTCCTCACGGTTCGCATAACAATTGCTGCAGCCCGGGCATCAAGACCAGATGTTGGCTCATCCATGAAGATGATGGATGGGTTCGCAACCAATTCAACTGCAATTGTAAGCCTCTTTCTCTGTTCGGTCGATAGACCATCCACTCCTGGAAGGCCCACTAAAGCATTCCTCAACAGATTAAGCTCAACCAAGTTCGTAATCTCTTCTACAAACATCTACATAAAGTTTTCCGCATGTTAGCTATGGCCATTTGAAATTCTATATTATTACAAATAAAGATAATCAAATTTGCAATTATAATTTTCAGTTAATTATGTTGTATGATATAAAAACAAGCGATAATAAGCGATGAAAAAAGCATCACAAATGGAGATAAATTATGATTCTACATCTACTGCATAGAGGTACTGCAAAGTTGTATCATACAGCTTGCAACATAATAAAGGCAGAACTTTAAGATGAAATAGCAATTCTCAATCATTAAATACATGAGCTGGGGATTCATTATTGATAATTGAAAAACAAAAAAAAGGCGTCAAAATGATCCCATGGGGGGTCATTATTTTAGTCCCCGAATTTGGAAGTGTCAAATGGGTTCACTGACTCTATGGGTTGAAATTGTCTCGAATAAGGATTATTTTGGCCCCCATTAAACAGTCTGATAACAAATTTAGCACTTCAAAATACATTGGGACTAAAATGACCCAATATAAATAGCCAAGGACTCTTTTGACACTTTACTCGTGAAGATGCCTCAAAGAACGTTATTTCCATTGCTTATTTGTTAGATCGTGCCATCAGTATCTAAAGAAGAAAACTACACAGAAGAGTAAAGGACATGAAGCAGAGTTACCTTTCTAGTTTCAAGGTCTATTTCTGGGGAAAGACGAAGCCAGGCCGAGTATGTCAAGGATTCATATACAGTAACATGTGGTGAGTGAATGTCATTCTGTTCACAGTAACCACTGACTCGAGCAAATGTTTCTTGCTTTTTGGGGTATCCCAAAATATTTATGGTTCCTTCAATATGCCCTCCAGTTTTTCTTCCAGCTAATACATCCATCAGTGTAGTCTTTCCTGCTCCACTCACACCAACTAGAGCGGTTAGGATGCCGGGTCTAAATGCACCACTCACATCGCAGAGCAGTTGAAGCCGTTTTTCTCCAACTTGTTTTTTCATTTCCTACAGCGAGAGAGAGAGAGAGAGAGAGAATATGGTCAAGGTTAACATTATTACCGTAAATATAGATTGACAATTTACATGATACCACAAATTCAATTGGTGGAGACTACAACCAAACTTCAATGTTAACATTCATTGAAAACGTAAGTTTTATGCGTTTAAATAAACAATTTGAAAAAAAAAACTTCTAATTTAGTTGTCATAATGTTTTTCTTAAGTACGAGTTTAGCTTTTTTGTTTTCTTTTCCAAGTTTTGGTAAAACATGCTGATGTTGCCACATGAGAAGAGATGATGTATTTATGATCTAAGTTCATTAGATTTTCTCATATTAATTTCTTGGGACTATTGCTGAATTCCTTAGTTTAATTGGGCATGGATTTTTTGGCTCCAGAGGTTCTCCGCTTTTGGGAATTATATCACCGTGATTAAATATTTTAAAAAGGGGTCTGTTAAGATCCAAGCTTTTTTTGATATTTTAGCTTCTATACTTGCAGCTAGGGGTGTAATTGAGCCAAGCCGACTCGGGCTCGGTTCAATAAGTGGCTTGTGGACTGAACTCAATGAGCTAACTTGCCCTCGTGAAAATTAATCAATATAAAATATATTTAAATGAAATAATATTCAAAATTTTAACTTTAAGTTATTAAATATATTATAAAAAATGATATTTTATATTTTATATTAAATGATTTTTTATTATATCCCATATTTGCTTATCATATTTATCATTTTAATATAACACTAATTTGAATTAATATTATTTTTTTTATTATTATTCGAGTCAGCTTGTGAGCCGGTTTGAACTCGTAAAATAAAGCTCAAGCTCAAGCTCGAGCTTAAACTTGATTTATTATTCAAGCTTGAGCTCAGCCAAGGGCGGCTCGGCTCGAGCTCAACTTGGCTCATTTACACACTTGGGGCTTTTTCTTTATCTAAAATGATGAAGCTTATATTATTTTGCAATTTACTGATTAAATGGGACAGTAACTTTCTTTCTTTTTCTTTTTTTTTGTTGAGCATTTACAAAAACAACACCCAATTCTTATGTATTTACTTATGTAACTTTTATTTTTAAATTTATAGCACCCAAAAATACCTAAAAATATATCATTATTGTAACTTTCAAAAAACAAAAGAGCCCTTATCTTGAATAGGTATGGTGACATATATATAAAAATTGAAGTATAGATGTAATATATGTAAATACATAATAATGGAGTGGTATGTATGTAAATCTTCCTCTCTTTTTTTTCCCTTATTTGTGGCTGTAACTCGTTGCGGTTGTTGCGCTTACTGGATTCTTTGGATTCGATAGTCATCTATTTTCTGGCTCTAACAATTTTTTGTTTTTGGTTATGATATCGCCATGATTACGCTGCACCAATCGGGCTACAATTGTTATCTAGGTGTATTCAAAACTGTAGCTGTAATATTCCATTAAATTCCGGTTCACCGGGATCGGAAATGGCGAATATGAAAAGTGTGGAGTCGAAGGATAGAGCAGAGAAGGGGAAATCAAAGCGGCCAAAAAAGTGGTAGAACAGGGTCAGTTTAACTCCAGTAAAATAGAGACGAAGAAAGGAGGCGGAGACGACACACATTCAGAGAGCGAGACATCTCTTGTGCTCGAATCAGTGAGTAGGACAGCGTGGGAAGCCGAGCATGGGCGAAGTAGCAGAAATCGTGAGACGATCCGCTTCTGCAAAGGGCGACGCTCGAGCGACTCGTAAACGAGAGGAGCGGAGTAGGAAATCAAGCCAAGGGTGAGCACCGACTGGACAAATGAGTGAGGCGAGAGAAGTGAGCAAACTCATGCTAGCATGCGACGATCTCGAACGCTAGCAATTTTAAGATGGGGGCTCGACTGTGCCACGCGAATGAAACATGCACACTCAGAATCACGAGCATGAGAGGGAGACGGCATCACTCATCAGCAAGAAATCTATCAAATCTGAGACAAAAAGGATAGGGTTGGCAGGCGTTTCATGCGAAGGAGAAGGCTGAGCAAAGGATTTGACAGAGATTAGGCGTCGAGGAGGAATGGAGCGCAATCAAGCATCAACAAGGTTTAAGGTTATGATTTTTATTTTAAACAAGGTGAAGTATTATAAATTTTCTTGAATGGTCAATCGGATAATAAACTATCATTTATTTTGTTTGATTAACATTTTTTTTACTTTTTTTTTTTTTTTTTTTTTAAAATTTTTTTTCTTTTTTTTTTTTTTTTGGTATGTTACTATAGTTTTTATTTGATTAGCATTTTTTTTAATGTTGTATGAATCTTCACAATCTTTTGATAACTAATCATATTTTAAATTAATATTTTTAAGTGTAAATTTTATATTTAAAATAAGTGATAGAAATTACAAATTAAAATAGGATTTCATTATGTTTCCAATCGGTAATCTCAAGCTCGGGGGCCAGGTGATGATAATAGCTTCTTAATCATGTCCCATTTTCATCGTATGGACATATCTTATTATGCAATTTTGTAATTATTTGGTTTTGTAGCTTAATGTTCCTACAAATCTTTTCTTATTCCACACTAAGCACGTTATGTTTATCAAGATTCCTATTCCACGAAGCGATAAACGGCTACACGCATATATTAACTAGTGCAAGGGTCTACAAATTAGGGTGTTATGAACTATGTAATGTCTGTCGACATGCAGTTCTCTTGTACCCTTTCAGGTCTTTGGTTTGCAAGCTTTGGGGAGAAGTACATCTATGTAACATTCAATACCCATAGCTTGCAATCCTAAACCATTTTAATTGGAAACATGCAAATTAGTCATAGAAATTTCTATCGTAACCATGCACAAAACTGAAGAAATGTCCAGAACCTCAGAAGAACGAGTTTACTTGCACGTACTAAAAGAAAAACGCCGCAATAAAGAAATCTCATTTGACCAGGAAAGTGCTCATTCAATATAGTAAATGTAACTGAAAGAAGTTGCTGAGAGGTCATAGATTAATGTCGAATAAAGAATTGACTTACAGAAGGCATTTCCACGTAATAGTTAACATGGTCAAATGCTAGAGAAAGAGGCTGGAAAGGCAAAACCATTCCTCGTGTAACTTGATTTTTCACGCTTCTGATTCCGCTAGAATTCTTCAGAGTTGTTTCCATTTCCACATCTAACCAATTAGAAAAAGATAATGAGTCGTGGCTACTAAGTTGTTCTTTTTGATGTTTCAAAAGAAACTACCACCACACCCTATGAAATCTCTTCCTTATCAGCACAATCAATTACAGCAATTGATTCGGGAAAATAGCAATCTTCTTGTGAAATAGCAATTCTGGAGTTGATTAATTGGCCAAAATATAATCTATCTTACTCAAAGGGCCTGGATTCAAATAAAGTGCAATCTTTCGCTTCTTATGTTTTTTTTTTTAATTAATTTTTATTCTAATGCAAAAATCATCAGTGCAATTGAAGTAAAGGAAAATTTACATACAAACCACACAATTCCTTTGTATTTACATATCTAATACCTAAAGATTGATGTTTATATTTATAATACTGTGGTGCAGTGAACCCATGCATTAAAAGTTGTATTTCACTTTTAAAACTTAGTATTAGTATTTTTTATGTGATATTAAAGAATTATGTTTGTAAATATGAAAGTTTAGGTGTTAGATATGTAAATACATATGAATTGTGTGGCATGAATGAAAATGTCTCTTAAATGCGGCATATAAACTATTCAGCGGTTTAGAAGTCGAGTCAAATCTGAGCGCCGTGCGCACCTGCAATATTAGATCTAGCGGATGATTCGATTCTTTCTGCCACTCCGGTTAAATCTGCCGTCGGTGCTACGTGGTTCTTTTCCGCACATTCTTCATTCTCACTTAAAATGATAGCTTTAGAATTCTTAATGGCTACAAATGCAAAAAAAACAAAAAACAAAAACAAAACAAAATAAAGAAAAAAAACGGAGTTATACACCTGTGGCAATAAAGTGACTAATAGAAAGATAATATACTTACGATTCAGATAAATCAATGCCAACAGGAAGCAAATATTAAACAGAAGAGTATATCCAAAAAGGACTCCAATAGAAATCCAGTACCAATAGCCATTTACAAACATGGCTCTTGACTTGAGAATCGCCTTTCCAATTGTTGATTCATTTATGATGATGGCATTATTTGGCTGAAATAAAGACAGAATCCAAAAATATCAACATAGAAAGCAGAGTTTAAAAAAGAAAAACGAAAAGGCATTTAGATACATACCACCCATTTCTTATGAATTTACATGTCAGACACCTAAACTTCAATTTTTAGATTTATACCATCCAGATCTTTCATGTCTCATAAAAAAATACCCCCATTTTTAGTCTTAAGAATTGAAGTGCTCCTTCTCATGCATAGGAAAGGTGGCATGTATGTAAAATTTGAGGTTTAGGAGTTAGATATGTTAATAAATAAAAATTGAAGGTGTGTATGTAAATCTTACCAAAAATAAAAAGTAAAAAAATAGTAACAATCTCCTGGAGGGCACCAAAAATTTACCTTGCCCCATCTAGGATCGAGAAATTCATTTATGGCAATGGCATTTTGTCCGTACATCATTGGAGAGAGCCAATAAGCCCATATCCACCATGGTTGAATATCATCTGTCCAGACAACGACCAAAGATGAAATGATGATTGCAATACCCTATTCACAAACTGTACAAAGTCTATTAGAAGTAAACTTATCAAGTTCTTGGTTTCTTCCTAGGGAACAAACAATTAATTTAAAAATAAAAAATAGATGTTCATGAAATTATCTCGTTACCTTTGGAGATAACAAATCCTCCTAGAACAAAGACTACAAGCAAGGCAAATACTCCGAATGTGTTAGCTATGACCATTGTTCTTCCAGATGCAGCAATGAACCGAAAGAGGCCAAGCGACATCTGGTGGACAGAGAAGTATGCCAAGAACTGCCGGAAAAACCTGTTAATGTTAGGAAATGCCTACATAAGAAACACAATCAATATTTGTACAGGTTCAGTTTCTTTAACATACATAAGCAATATCAATAACACTACTTATACATGCAATAATATACATTGATACAAGCGCCTATAAGTTTGATATCATATTGATATATTGTTCTACATTCCAAGAGCTGAAGAACAGAATCAATAGGGTAATCCTTTGCATCAAGAATGCAACAAAAACAACTACGAAACCGCCAAAAAGAAGTCTGGCACCAAAAAATAAACAACGTGTTTACCTACTAGCCGCAGGTGCAAAACCAATCCCATAGTATGTAATGAGTATCCAAATTGAAGATTCAACTAGAGAAAGGGGAATCTTCACAATGACATATGATAGCACAAATGCCCAAGGAGGATAAAACAAGAAATCTCTTTGTTTATAGAACACAGGAAGTCTGAAAATTGTCAAAGCTAGCTCTGCCATACCATTGAACATCATATTTACTAAACTGAAGAATAGAGCACCATAGTAAGTTCCACCATCAGAAATTGTTTCATGGTGCATATTGGTTCTCAAGAACAGAGTCATGGTTATCACAGCCATAATTGTTAACTGGGAGATCTTAAATATGTAGACAAATGAATTGCGCTTCATCAGTAACAGCTCCTTGTCAAAACATGCCTTGAAGAGCTCCCAACTGGACATGCCATACTTCTTTGTAGCCAATGCAGCGGGATGGACTCTGGATTTATCAAAAGGAATTTCAAGCTCTTCCCCAATATAAAAAGTCTTAAAAGAATTGGAAAATTCAGAGACAGGAACATAACGGTAACGTTGGTCTTCCCTAAACCAGTATTGCTCCTGATCCCTTCTTGATGTGACCTCTTGAAGGAAGTCTGCAATTCCTTTTCTTTCTGGGCATTTAAAGCCCATGAACTCAAAGAACTCTAGGATGTTCTCACGGGGTCCTTGATAGACAATCTGACCCTCAGACAACAGAATAACATCATCAAAAAGTTCAAATGTCTCAGGTGCTGGCTGAAGAAGAGAGATAAGCACTGTTCCATCCATGACATGCACCATCTGTCTAATGAACTTGACAATCTGAAACGTGGTGGAGCTATCAAGTCCAGTTGATATTTCATCCATAAATAGTGCCCTTGCAGGCCCGGCCAACATCTCCCCTGCCGAAAGAAAAATCATATAGCGTAAATTATTTAGGATAGACAAAGTAGCACACAAAGGAATTTTAGGGATCGACCACATTATTCTCACGTATTTAATTATTGATAAAAATATACGTATTAGTAATAGTTGTTCCAATATATCTATTCAGATGTACTTTAAAGTTATTTTTAACTTTAATTATTTTATAAATAATTGTTAAGAAACAATAAGGAAATATCTTTAAAATGTATAAATTAAAATTTGACCAGTAACCTTCAATTAAGTTTTCATGACATTATAGAACATGATAAACTTTAATTAACATGATTTTTTATTTCTTTTATGAAAACACTAAGTAATGAAAATAAAAAGTTAATGATATAACTGAGATTCCTGAAATTTACATAGGTGAATGCGAACTCATTTCTCAGAACGCGGTCTGAAGTTTGGATGATATAATTGAGTTTGGTAAGTAACTATGAAAGGGAAATGGATTTTACCCGGTAGAAGCAACCAATAATCCTGAATATTTTTTCAAGTTATAATATAATAAACTCAAATTTACATGTATTACGATGTCTTTAGAGTATGCCTAAACTATTTAATCATCATCTTAATCTAATCACAATTATTTGGGGTCAGTCATAGGAATAATCTTCCATACATGTTTAGTGGCGTAAAAGATCATAAGTTCAATCTGTACATGGTTTTTACATCTTCTAACTACATTATCATCGACCTACAACATTTCAATACCATAATTTCTTATTACTTATAAATATATACTTATGGAGATTCTACCAAACATTGTGCATGTTCAAGCAGCCCAAATTTATGTTAAACATCTTATCTTCAATTAGTATTATTCTCAACATTTCTTAAATATTTTATTTCCAATTTTATTATTCATAATTTTATCATAGATCAATATTAATTTTTCTCTCTCTCTTAAATTAATTGTTAATGATTTCTTGTTTGATCAAAGCTAAAATGTTTGCATGGTCAATCTATTTATTTTTATATACCATTAAAAATTTATTATATTCTTGTATCTCACAATACTACTAAGCTACAACAAGCCAACACATAAGCTTTAACTATGAGAGTTATATCCTCATCTAATTCTCACTATCTTATATAAAGGATCCAATATATCTGAAACTATCAATGGCAGAAATGACTTTATCATTAAGCAAAAACTGCTAATAATTTTTAACTTTTCATCCGCTAAATTATAATTCCTCACAATAGATCATCTTTAAAGAATACATTAAATAAAATTTTCAATACCAAATGATTTTTCTACACCCATATTTCATTGCTCTACCTCCTAACTTGAATAACTTTTTAAAAACAATTCTTCTATAATTATTTTATCCCTAAACATTCTTTTAATTATCAAATACAAACACCATGATCCTTAAGCTCCAAATTTGGCATATCTTTGCCTTTAAGATTGCATTAGTTTTAATTAACTAAACTATCAAAATACTTTGTTGAATCTCAATATGTGTCTCAGATAAACCTAAAACATTAACTTCAAGTGTGATCTTTGAAGGCAACTCAATTTTACATTTTTAGATAATTCTCAACAAGTGTCTCATAAAAACCTAAAACATTAACTTCAAGTCTGTACTATGAAGACAACTAAATTTTACATTTTTAGATAAATCTTTTGTGAGCTCTTACATTTTTTTGTATTGCTCTTCTAGGAAAGAATATTTTTTTAAAATTTCTCAATAAAATTTTAATCATTCCTTAATTTCTTCAGTTCAACTCATTCTAAACAAATGAATTTGGTTAAAATATCTAAATTTCATGCTTTTTTTTATCAGCTAGCATATATTAACTCCATAAATTTAATGATAAGAAGCGAAATAATTCTCAGTAAGTGTTTTTATAATGATGTGATATTTGAATCAAAGAAGCTCAAGATGGCCAAGACAAACTCCATACAATCATAGAGTTCAAAATTTCATCGATTACATCTATAAAGCTCAAATTAAAATTATAAATTATTTTTAGCTAATTATATTTATAAAAATATAATAAATATTATTTTTAAATCATATATATAACCTAGAGCTTGTTAAGGAATTTTGACAAAATTCTAAACTAAATTTTATTGACATTATAATTCTTATTATATTCGTTCAATTATAATTAAAGTATTTTCATTCATCTATTATTGTAAAATCGAATTTAGTTTTGAGCTTAAATTAATGCAAAATCACATAAAGCTTATTTTTATATCTCAATTCGATTCAATTATCTAAATTCTACAGCCACAAATTTTACTAGTTTGTAGTGATGTTTTGATTACTAATTTCTTTTTTCTTTTAATTTAATCTATTTAAGATAATATAAAATATATCAATAATTTTAATGAAGTATACCTACAAGCTTTTAAGGATTCATGACTTCTACCATAATGACATTCAACCATACAAAGCTAATTTATTATTATTTGTGTTGTATGGAGATTAGGAATGTTACCATTGTAATTATTTTAAACATTACATAAATTAGTGATAATCTTATAGAGCCGCAGGAATGATTTTATATAAATGGCAAATAAATATCCAACTAATTATAAAATTAATTTTGGAATTTTTAAAATAATTTAAGATCAATAGAGTATATACATATCTCAATTTTCAAATCATCAAGACTAACAAAAACTCTGTGAAAATCCCTCATAACTCATTCTCCCATTCTTATCAAAAGTAAAGCTTCAAGTGCTGATTGAAATTTCTTTTGAGGTTGAGAGATACGAGCAAGATCATTTGCAAGCTAAAGTTGTACAATGATTGACATTGCTTTGTGAGATCGATTTGATTTTTCAATAATTTTCCTACATTGTGTTAGATCTGTTGTGAAAATTGAAGCGGAAGAAAATAAGAATCGACACAAAATCAGAAGAAGAACACAGAGTTTTAACGAGGTTCAGCAAAAAATTGCCTACGTCCTCGGGAGCGAGCAGCGTTTTCACTATTTCAGAGAAGTTACTATACATTCCATAGGGTTACACATATATATATAGACATATACAAACCCTCAGATAAAATTACAATCACGCCCTCGCTTCCCCCAACCCACTTTATTCCAAGAGACACTCCTTTTCACCAGAGATACACCTCTTCACCAAGAAATTCTAACTCCCTATATATGAGTCATACCTAACAATTCTCCACCTTGGCGAATATCCAACACCTTAGGAGATATGCATCACCCGGTATATGCGCCTACCAAACAAATCTCCACCTTAGTGAGAGAAAATCCCCTTTAGGAGAAAATCTCCACATTGCAAATATCCAATACTTTAGGGGAAAAAATCTCCACCTTGCGAATATATTGCCCCTTAGGAGAAATATCTCATTGAGTTTTTTATACCAAAGTGAGTTCGGCAACCAAACCATCTAACCTGGCTTGGTCAAAGTTCCTATTGCATTTTCACCATATGATTCAACAGAGCGTTCTCCACTTGCAACTGTACTCCCTATCAATTTATAGATGTTACCTACAGTGATCTTCCATTTCATCACAGTCAGTGCACCCTTAACAATTCTGATGGTTTTTCTATCTTCATCTGCCTTAAGAATGAAACCATTTCTGTGTAGAGTGCCCAAAGAAATCAAATTCTTCTTCAACTCTGGAACATGTCTGACATCACATAATGTTCTAACAGTATCATCATACATCTTAATTTTGACTTTACCAATACCAGCAATATTGTAACGTTTATTATCACCCAAATAGACTGAACCAGAATCAGATAACTTGTATGAAGTAAACCACTCCCTGTTAGGTGTTATGTGAAAAGAACATTCTGAATCAAGAATCCATCCATCCTTTAACTGAGTTGTTGTAACTGAAAGCGCATCACTATCACTGTAATTTGTAGTGTCACTCTGCACCATATTCACAGCCCTGGAAGATACATCACGAGTCTTCTTCTTGAGCATTGGACAATCTCTCTTCATAAGTCCATGTTCCTTGCACTTAAAGCAACGAATCTTCTTGCCTTTAGGCTTTGACCTAGAACTTTGCCTTCCAGAATTCTCCTTCTCCTCCTTACTTTCACGATCCTGATTAGCCTTAGCATATAAACAATTACCATGAGAGTTTTCCTCTGCATTTTGCTTCCGTTGGTTGTGAGCCAACAATACTGCAGTAATCTCATTAATTTTAATTATTTTTTTCTCATATGTAAGAATAGTTACCAGATGTTCATAAGAAGTAGGCAATGAACACAAAAGAATCATTGCTCGGTCTTCATCCTCAATATTCATATCAAGCCGTGTCAGATCCGTGATTATTTGATTGAAGACATTCAAGTGCTGAACCAAATCAGTGTTTGCCTGCATCTTCAGCCCATACAGCCTTTGCTTCAGATACAATTTATTCGTCAGAGATTTGGACATAAACTGAGATTCCAATTTCTTCAATACTTCTCCTAGAGATTTCATATTCATAACATGATACATAATCTCATCTGCCATACATAAACGTATGGTACCTGCCGCTCGAAGTTGTAACTCTTCACAATCTTCATCTTCCATATTATCAGGTTTCGTAACCCGCATAGCCTTCAAAATTCTCTATTGTGTTAACAAATCTTTTACCCTTGTTTGCTACAATTCAAAGTTCCCGGTCACATCAAACTTCACTATCCCGAATTTTGCTCTCTATTTGAAATTTAATCCTGCACCGTATTTTCCTGCCTTGCTTCAAAAACAAAAGAAAATACTCCGCAAATAAATTCAAAGAAACCTGAACTGAAATTTTCCTTGTCAAATGCAACAACTATCCCGTCAAATGCAGCAACTATCCCGCGATTCTTCTGTGATTCGTGAATCAAATTTTCCCACAAAGCACTTTCCTATTCGTACCAGTACCTTGGCCAATTGTTGTTTCCGCGAACCACGAATCCCTTAGCACCTGTTTGAGGAATACCTCCACAAAACTCCTGTTCACGAAATAATCGTGTATGCTCGCCTCCTGCACCCTGCCGAACTCCACCTGTCGCAAAATCTCCTAAGACGAACCGACAAATTTAACTGGTCGAATTCCTCAGATTTTCCGCAAAAACAAGGTTCATGTTCGCGGTGGACAACCTCTGTTTCTAAAGTATTGTTTAACCAGCCGAACTCCTCGCGGTACTGCAAACTCTTGTTGCTAACACGACGAGCGCAATTCTTCCTTCCTGCAACAGCAGCGAACTCCCACCTGTTCGCAAAACCGACGCAAAGCGAATCCGACGCAACTCCTTCACCCGACTCGCCGAACTCTGCGTCGCCTGGTCTGCCGCGATTTGATTCTGTGTCGCGAACGCAAGCACTCCTTCAGTTTGCGAACGTCGATGGACGCATGCGAACTCCAACAGCACGCACAGAACTCCCTCCAGCGGTTCGCCCCTTCCTCTGTGAATTTTCAGCGAAGCACTCACGCGAACTCACAATCTGGTCTGATCTTTCTTCCCGTAGAAAGATTTGCTTCTGCCTGTCGCGAACACTTTAACGCCGAACCTCCTGTTCACTTGAACGAGACTCTGATACCAATTGCTATAAAAATTGAAGCGGAAGAAAATAGGAATCGACACAAAATCAGAAGAAGAACACGAAGATTTAACAAGGTTCGGCAAAGAATTGCCTACGTCTTGGAAGCGAGCGGCAGTTTCACTATTTCAGAGAAGTTACTATACATCCCATAGAGTTACATATATATATATATATATGTATATATATATATAGACATATACAAACCCTCAGATAAAATTACAATCACGCCCTCGCTCCTCCCAACCCCCTTTATTCCAAGAGACGCTCCTTTTCACCAGGAGACACCTCTTCACCAAGAAACTCCAACTCTCTAGATATGAGTCATACCTAACAAGATCAAGTAACAAACTCTTTTTTTTCTTTTTCGTATTCTTGCTTTGAAAGCGTACAACAAAATTATTGTAATCTAATTTTGCATTTAGGTTGTGAAAGTTTTTCCAACCACAGTTAGTATATAGGAGATATATATTTGCATAGTAAAATCCTAGCCATGGGTGTGGCAAGAGCCGACCCACAGAGAAATTAATTTGTGCGCTTTATACTTTATTCTTATCTTAATTTTTTTTAACTTAAATAAAATGGCAATTCATTTTTTTTTTAGTACAACAATTCATCTGTCTTTTAAGTTAACAATCACATAATGGATGCCAACTATTTCAAATTTACATATAATATATGACAATTTTTTTTATAAAGTGACAGTAATTAGAGAGAAATGTTTGAGTATTTTTCATGTCAACATTTATAGAATTTAAACAAATTCGAGAAAGCATCTAATAGAAAAAATATAAAATAAAAAAATCTAATTAATTATGAAATAAATACAATAGCTAATAAATTGATAATGACATAGTAGCCATCCCACAAATCAATGAGGTGATAGAAGAAGAGAAAGAAAAGAGGGCACAAGTCTTGGCAAAGGTGGGTCCCTACTGACACAAATCACATATGCATTTCACATAAAGTTATTTTAATGACTACTTAACAATCATATCATCTATGTCATTATTTTTAAATGAGAATTAAATTTAAAAATGATCAAATATTTACATAAACACGACTATTAAATCATATTGTCCAACCATTTTATGCAATATCCAAGTAACCAAATATATAGGGTTCTGGTGTTAATTAAAGTGCTTTTTCTACAGCAATTCTAGCTGCTCGTAACTATTATTCTTCGAACAATATTTCTACTTGTTACCTTTAAAATCACAAAATTTTTCTTTGTAGTTTCTTTGTACCTCCAGGTTCTACTATTAGGAATCCTTACAAACACTAAAAATCATGAGAGAAAAGCTGTTTTTGGCTGCCTAAATTGTCATCAAATTCTCATGAAGCGTTGAAAAAGTGAGATACACTTGTAAGCTAGTTCCTAATTGGCACTTGGAAGATCCTTGATGAAATAGAAATATTGATGAACAACAATTAAACACAAGATGAATAACATAAAGAATCATGTTGAATATTTTCCTATATGTTAAAATCATTTAAATCCATTTTCTTGCATTTTTAAATTACTTTCAATATATGTGCTGCAATAACTTACCCGTGGTCACGCGTTTCTTTTCTCCACCTGAAATACCTCTTCGCATCTCATCGCCAACAAGAATATCCGCACATATATCCAACCCAAGTACCTATTTTGTGGCGTTTAACAAAATCATCATTACTAATGTGCATTGCCACTTATAACAACATGATCACATATAGATAAGAAACAAAAAACTACAGAACATACCTTCAGAATATAGTCAGTTCCTAAGCTAGTATTTTGTCCTTCCACAGCAACTGCCTTCATAAAGGCGTCAATTTCAGGGTCTGGTTTAATGCCTGCATCTCTCTCTCTTCTTGATAACTCTGCCATTAGTTCATATCTAGTTCCTACACCCAAGCACCGTCCTGAGAAATTGAAGGTCTCCCTAACTGTCACCTCACCAATGTGAGTATCATGCTGACTGATATAGGCACTAGTTCTCTGTGGGAAAAATTCTGATAATTCATGACCACAATATGTGATTTTACCAGAGACCTGCTTCCAATGTAGTAGTTAGTAATCTAAGCCACATTTGCAACTAAAGTTGACTGATTTTTTCAATTTCAGGATACTAAAAATATCATTCAAACATGAATTAAAGAAGAGAGAGAGAGAGAGAGAGGGAGAGAGAGAGAGAGAGAGAGAGAGAGAGAGAGGGGGCGAGGGAGGGGGAGAACAAATTGCATGTGAGCAAGCTCAAGAAGACAAACTTAAACGACTAACAGATAGCATTCTTTCAGAGGAAGCCTAGAAGGGACCTACGCTAAGCTTTTTCTCAATCTTTCCAGCAAGAGCTAGAAGAAGTGTTGTCTTCCCTGAGCTTGGCGGTCCAAGAAGCAGACACATCCTGAAAGTTCATTTAAAAGCATGTAAGCATAATTTTGCACAATTCTGATAAATATTTAAAATCATAAAAGATGCTCTAAAATCCTACATAGGTTGATTAAATCCAAAAGAAATATTTCATTGTAACATAGTTTCCGTTGACTATACCATGCCAAAAAGAAAATCATTATTTTAGAATCTTGATTAAGAAGCTGAAAGCTTCTTTATTATTGTAATCAAGATGTGCTTAGACCCCCAAAGAAAGCACAATGCACTAAAAGCTTAAGTTGAAACAAACTACTGAGAGCCACTTCTTGAACCATAAATGGGATTAAGTGTTACCTATAGGAGTCACCTCTTGAATCTATAGAGATGACCGCTATAATCTCATATGCATGGTAGATGATTCTAGATTAAGAATACCGATGAGGACATAATACTTAAAAATGGGAAAATATAAAACCCCTAGTGTTAAATGAACTTGAAATGTTAAGCATCAATGTTTATTTTTGTGTAATAGTTGGAATTTCATAGAAAAAAAAAATCAAGTTAAATGTGCCGCATGGGAGCACTCTCAAGATGGATGATCGTAGTTAATTAAAAATTTAAATATTATAATTGTGATTTAATCAACTTGTAACAGCTTTTTCCTTCTTGGTAAACACAAATGATGTCAAAGTGTTAAACCAACATAAAGATGAAATTAAGTGTCATACAGAAGAAAATAATATGTCATCAAAGTCACCTCTTGAACCCTGAATGAAACAAAGTGCTGCAGGATGATACCCACCTCTTGAATTTGTATAGATCACCTCTAGAATTTTATTTGTATGGTAGATGACTTAAATGCAGGAGATTGTGAAACCCTTCGAGTTGAATGAAACTAAATTCTTAAACATCAAGACGTCTTTGGTATAATGATTAAAATTTCATCAAAAATTTCAGTTAAATGTGATCGCATGGGTGCACTCTCAAGTGGGTGAACTTCTAGGAAGTTACATTAATGAGACAAAATCATGATGCTATTAGACCGAAGTGCCAAAGCGAGCAATATTTTGATGAGTGAGAGATTGAATTGTTACATGTGCACGCGCACAAACACACACACACTAACTCTATGTAAGTGCAAGGAGTCTGATTGATGTGGTATCAATCTCAACAGCACTAGTCAATCTGTTCAACCTCATCTCTCTATAGAAACACTATAATCAATTCGTCTCTACAATTCCAATCCTATCTTCACCTCAAGACAAGACCAACCACGTCTTCAAGCCAAAGTGTTTGTTTGGCTGCAAGTAGGATTTAGTAAATTTTGTAAATATGAATTTAGTAATTTCGTAGGAGTTTAAATCCTTAAAACTATTTGGTAAAATGAATATTAAATACAAATAAATCTTGAGAAACTGCTTGACACTTATTTAAGGATTTAAGTATTTTTATTGAAATATAAATTTAATGTTACATATTAATGATATAATTATTAAATCTAATTTAATTTAATTGTTATCTATAATCATGCTACTCAATAATTAATTATTCATTAAATTAATAAATCATTAATAAGAATTTTTATAAACTAATTATTTATTAATCAAGTCTTAACAATTATTAAAAAGCAATTGATTAGTCATTAGTTATATTATTTAATAATTAATTAAATTTTTGTTATACCAATTAAATTTTAAATGAAATTTAACTTTTATTAATTAATTACTAAATAGTTACATATCATGTCTATACAATTCTGATTAATTTGGCAATATATTCATTAATTATTTATTATTAACTTATTAAATTAACTTAAGGAATACATTTGTAGATGCCTTAATAGAATATATATGATTGACGGAATCACTCAAATATTGTTTTATATCATAACAATGATTTCCTATATAATGATGAGAATTCTTTTTGCAAGAGCATGAAGTCCAATTGATAATCGCATCCGACTTACATCAACCAATGAAATCAACGAATGCCCTCTTAAGATACCAAAATTAATGGATGGATTCATAGATAAACTCAAGCTAATACCTATTGCATCAATGGATGAACACAAGAAGCACGATTAAAAATTGTTAGAAAAATCAATATTGAGAACAAAGTAGACTAGCATTCATATTTTTATCAGTCTGCAGTGCTGAAAAGATTAAAAAAACTCGTCTTATCTGGCCTTCAACCAAACATAAGAGAGATGCTCGACAGGCTTTACCGGTCTCTCACCTTGATGGCTTTAGGATTCCACTAACATTAACAAGAATCTTGTTCACACTTTTCTTTGACCGAGCAAATCGAATAAAACCAAAAATTCCCTGCGTGGCACCCAAAATTAAAAAAAATTAGGTTAAATCAGTGAAAATTATCAAGACAACAAAAAACAAATCACAAGCTCACAGGCTAAAAAATCTGACAAAATCCACTCCGACAAAAACTGTAGACACAAGTTATGATCAAATTGTTTCTGGGTTTATAAAGAGGAAACAAATGCTAAAAATAAGCGGGACAATTGCTAAAGAAAATAACAAGTTTAGTACGCCGTAGAACAAAATATGTCCTAAAGATTTTAATAACTGATAATATTTCCGATACACTATGTTGCTAATTTGCCTTTCAAAGAACCATGTCATCTGAGTTGTAACTTCTTTTTTAATGTCATCTAATCTTGTTTGGGTTGACACCCAGAACTCAAACAGAAAATTTGAGAGAAACGAGCGGATTTCTGTAAAATAATAGTACCTCTAGAATATTAATGGTAGCATTCAACAGAGTAGGAAGCGCTCTGCTACCAACATAAGCATCGGCCTCCACCGATAAATTCTGAAACCGCACTTCAATCTTCGGAAGCTCAAGGCCAACGCTGCATCAATCAAGACAGGAAATCAATTCAGTCCCAGTAAACATCACCATAAGCAAAGCCGTAAGAAACAACAAGAGCAGAGGATTTTGGAGCCCAAACTGGTTAAATCGATCTCTAAGGCGCTTCAAGAACCGCTCATTATCCTCCTCCACAATCTTCATAATCCGGTCAACCAGAATCTTTCTCTCCTGAATACCGAGCTTCTTGATATCAACCTCACTGCTGATAACCTTCCCGTCGTCCCCGAACTGCTGCAGAATCCCTTTCCTCATTCGGTCGTAAGTAGGAAGCTTCTCAAGTGCCGCCCACTTGAGATTTTCTTCATCGTCCACCTCCGTCGTGCTCCGGCGGAAAACATCAGTGGGATCGCGAAAGCTGCCGGACATCCAGCTCCGGCGGCTGCTGCTGGTCACACCAGAGTCATCGGCACCAATGCCGAGGATAGCAGCCATCTTGAAGAAGCGGCAGAGCGATTCCACGGGTCAGGGATCGAGTAGCATTGCACGTCGATGGTTTCAGGTAGTGGTTAGGGTTCCTCAGCGGAGAAGAGGAATGGGGACGTTTTTATAGTCGTGGAAGCCATCATGCCTACCTCTTTCTCCTTCCCTCGCTCCCCAGCAGCTTTAACTGCGTGTGCATTTGGATTTCCTTTTTTGTATTTTTAAATTTATGCGGTTCGACCTTTGAGACGGGAAGCTGGAGGAGATCGAATGAATGGGAATTTCTGTGGGGAACGTCGCATGCGAAGTTTTTTTAGTAGGCTTTTAACTGGGTTACAGTGGCAAAAGGTTTCGTTAAATTTACAGAAGCTAGATACGAACTACGGACCAACTATTTACACCTACATTGGTAAGAAAATGATACCGTGTCGCGCTCGCGCACATATTGACACGGATAGAGTTCCGTCACCCCTAACATGTATCCCAAATTTAAAATAATTTAAGATAAATATATCTAACAATAATAAATATGGGAAATAGAATTAATATGTAATCACAAATTTATTATCTAGCATGAATCTCATAGATAATTTTTTTAAATAATATTTAAATTTTGATTAAAATTCATTTATAACTTTAATTTCAACAAACTTAGTCTTTGACCAGCTCAAAAGGACGGACCCAATGATACCAAAATTAGTTCAATATTAGTTAAATCAAACTCAAGCTAATTATGAATCTGACAAGCTTATAGTCAAATCAAGTTTCTCGGTAAGGCGAATCTAAAGAGCCCAAAAACACTCAATTCTCATATCATTATGACATTCAAATGTTTTTCAAATGTCATCCGATTGAGGGAATCTTTTTGGCCCGTCTGATAGAGTGGTATGAATTCTTTAATTATAAAGAGACATCTCTCAGACTGTAAATAGAATCATTTCATACCCCCTATTAAGAGTGTAATTAGACTTGAAACAAAAAAAGACCGGAGTTTAGATATGAAGCCGAAGCTTACCATTGTTTATGCATTGAAGATCTGACGCTTGCAGCGAACAACCACTGCCAACCACCACCTGTTGGCCGCCGTCGACCACCATCAACTGTCACCCTCTCCTTGTAGTGAAGTTCCTTTTTAAAGTCACAATATGTGTTATAGAATCCCAATATACATTGTGAGACACTGAAACAACCAGCAGAGGATTAATATGTTGTCTAATATATTGTGCAACAATGCAGCCTGAATATTGTTCAACGACACACCCCCAACGATGGTGTAACAATGCATCCCATATGCGGTGAGACAAAGCCTCCCGAAGATTATCTAACAACACACCCTGAATTTAGTGCAACAATACACCCCAATGACGATATATAACACCCAACATATATTGCAATGACACCTCCCAAAAATGGTATAACAATACACCCCGAATATGATGCAATGAGACATCACGAGGACGGTGTAACGATGCACCCCGAATATAGTGAAACAATGCACATTTAATATAATGCAACGACATGCGTCAATAATGGTGTAACAACGCACCTCACATGTGATACAACGATGCCCCAAAAAAATGATGTAACAACGCACCCCGAATACGATGCATCAACACACCCTGAATACAATGCAATGACAGACTTTAAAGAGTGTGCAACGACACACCATGATGATAGTGTAACAACACATCTCACATATAGGGGCGCTCTCAAAACGGTGTAACACTGAACCTCGAATATGATGACTTTCTCTGGGCTCATAAAGCTCCCTTTTTTACAACATTCGACTTTCGTCTCTACAACATACGGTTGTTATCACAGCTCGTATAGCTCCTGACTCCATCCTCTGCAACCTATGAACGTAATCACAGCTCATCACTATGACCAACATGACCAACTATGTGTCTAGCTCACAGCCCGTGCATCTCTCGACTTTGGTCAACGTCATCACAGTTCACCACTATAGAATATCTGACCTACGTGGCTTATAACTCGCGACTTCGGCCCTTATGGCCTCTTGATGTCATAACAGCTCGTCAATATGGTTTATGTGACCAACTACAACCTACGTGGTTTACAGCTCGTGCAGCTTTCGACTCAAGCCTTTGCAGCATATGAACGTCATGACAACTCAACACTACAACCTACATGACTAACTACAACCTATTGGGCTCACAACTCATATAGCTACCAACTCCAGTCTATGCAACCAATCAATGTTATCGCAGCTCACCAATATGACCTACATGATCAACTACGGCCTAAGTGGCTCACATCTCATGCAGCTTCCCACTACGATCTTTGTAGTCAACAAACGTTTTTGAAGAAACCATCTACGATTCACACGACCAACTACTACCATGACTTTTAACTATGTCATATATGACAAGTTAGCGTTACAACCACCATCTACAATATTCATGGAGGACTAGTACCTCTATAGCAATTGCATACGACCATTGCAATATACTATCATCGATAACTACATTCATTACGACCAAACTATAACTATCATCGATGAATTACTGTCGTACATTTTTCATGACCAACTTTGCCATGTTATAAGTGTGAACCAAGTATTAACATTTTGTTACTATATAATCAATAACTAAAAAGTAAACACACATGTGGTGGGGCTTAGTGAGAAACAAACATGAGTTATGGTACAAAGAAATGTTCTCCCTTAAATATCTCATAGAATTTATACGCAAAGTGACAAATATTAATAAGAAAAACTTTAGAGGTTGCATCACTTTGGTGGAGCATAGTCCATAATTTCAATTCTCTTAACTAAGCTAGAAGTAGATTAAAGTCTTCTTTGTTCTGAATGTGATATGACTTTTCATTCAACACTTATCTCTTATATGTGAGTTTCTTGCTATGATTTATAGGCTTTATGCTTAGCTCATTGGAGCTTTGAATGAGCTAAGCTTATTATTTAAATTTACTACCATCCCTCTGGTTGAATTTCTTACATTTTTTTTTTTTGAAAAAAAAAATCCTGACTTAATGTGTATTCTTGTTATAATAATGATATTATAATATTAAAATAAATAAAAAATTAAAAATAAATTACAGCAATTTTATTTAAAATAATCGTGGTGCCAAATAGTTGTTAGGGTAGTTTATTATGTTTAATTACTTACAAAATTATTAATCATCGCATAAATTATATCTAAATCATTTTATTGGCAATAACTTTTTTTGTCGAGTTTGTGTAGGAAAAGTGATAGAGGAATTATTTATTTAAACCATGAATGATCAGCACATTCAGTGCTTTAAAGAGCTAAAATTAATGAGCTTGATTTTATAAGAGGGTGGTGAGACGAGCAATGCTCTATGGCACTGAATGTTGGCCTTTAAAAGAGAAGCATAATACTAATTTAAGTGTTGCCGAGATGAGAATGATTAGGTGGTTGAGTAGCTTTACACTTAGAGACAAAATGTGAAATGATTATATCCGTGATAGGGTTGGTGTAGCCCTAGTGACAGACAAAATTTGAGAAAGTCATCTTAGATGGTTTGGTCACATTAAATGTCGACCATCTGATGATCTGATTAGGAGAGTAGATGTTTTAGATTTGACTTGTGTTAAGAAAGGCAGAGGTAGACCTAGGAAGACTTTGGCTTATTGTATAAAAAATGATCTTAATTTATTAGAAAATGAAAATATTACACTAAATAGGACGCATACACTAAATAGGACGCAATTGAATAGGACGCAATTGAGAAAAAGGATTTGTGTACCTAGTGGGATTAAGTCTTTGTTGTTGTTGTTGTTGATTTTAAGAAGGCTAGCCTTGATGATGATGAAGATGTAAAACATTTTGATTGGTGCCTACACATATAACTTTAATGATCTCATACCTAAGTTTATTCATTTCATTACTGTGCTTTTTCTGTCTTTATCTTTCTTACGACGCTTTATTTCTTGGCTGTCTCTCAGACAATTTCTGATTTAATTGTTGTATTTCTATATAATAAGAAAATTTTAAATTTAAAACAAAAACATAACATGTATCTATTGCACTTCAAAGAAATATACATAAAGCTTGTGAGCTATGAAGTTAGCAAGCTCAAATATATCTGAGATTAGAAGTCTTAAGATGCATTAAACTTTGTACTCTAAATGTTAGATCAAAAGCCACTAAACTAATAAGCTCAACATTAACTCATTGGATATATTATCAAGGGAAAGCCTAAGTGATATATAAGACAAATTTGATTTCAAAATATTTGTATCAAATGTGAAAGAGGGACCACATCATTGACTTATAAGAAAAGACAATGAGTAAGAAAAGTAGACAATGAGTAAGAAAAGTCAATGAGAAAAGGTTATTCTTGATACTACCAATATTCCTCATTTGAAAGTCTTTGATGTGGTCCCTCTTATCAAGAATGGACATCATTGACATTTCTTACTTACATTTTACCTTTTTCTAGGATATGTATCGTGAGTGAAGGAGATCGATTCTAAGTTAGACAACTATAGAGAAAGGTTTTCAAGTGGTCTTCTGAGCTATCAAAATTTGATCTATGGTGATAAAATAGTAGAAAAAAAGAAAAACTAAATAATCTATGAATTAGGTGACAGAGCAAAGCCTACAACACAACATTTTTTTTATAGTGATAGAATCAAAGTGAGTGACTATATTTAGTAGATATAAAGAATTGCTCAAATGACTGCTCATATCATTGTGTTGTAAGCTGCAGTGTAAGCGTTGAGATGCCAAATTCATAGAGAAAACTAGCATTCGATGAGGAGAAGAAGAAAGAAGAGTATTAAAATATAAAAAAGAGGAGGATTAATGAGTCGAAATAATATTATTTAATTAGAGTTATTTTATCTCTTCCCGAGTTAATTAAATGATGATGAATTGTTGTAACATATTATTTTTGAATGTGGAATGTTATTTTGTCATAAAATTATTTGTGATTTTATTTACGAAATTGTTCAATTTTGCTTTAGTTATTTGGGTGTTGGCTAACAATAGTTATAAAAACATAAAAAATAATGGATACTCTTTTTTTTTATGTACATGTTTTCATTTAGGTCAAAAGAAAATATCCATTTTCCTACTAATTATATATTTTCTTAAAATGTTTTCAACAATGAGCAAATCATCTCCATTAATGAAATTAGCTATACACCTAAATTTATTGACTCTGGCCCGTTTGGGGCAGTTTATTTGATGTGGTGGCGTTTTGAAAACGCACCTGGTCTGTTTGGGTGAACTGTGTTTTGACAGTTTATGCGTTTTCAAAAAGCAGAAAGCAGCGTTTTCACACCGCACATATCTAGGTGCGGTGACAGCTTATT